ATGAATTTGATATGTTTAAGAAAAGTCACATTGGAATGAATTTCATGCATTTTTTTTTATTTTCCTGCACACTAAATTATTGATTGTAGAACCAGGTCAGTCATCATCTACCCCTTAAAAGGATACAACAAAGATTCAGTATCACACACACACATGCGCACGCACACCCACGTATACACACAGAAAGGATGGAAAACAAAAATGAAAATAATTAATTTTAATCAAATCAATTATCTGTCATGTACAATCTTTTGGGTATAATAGTTAGGCTGTTTCTGTCCTAAAATACATTTAACACAAAATAGTGGGGCCTAGACCCTTCCCTCCCCCAGTTGTTCTTTTCGTAATCCTAGATCATAATATCAGTCTCGAGTTATTTTCTACATTCTACTACTGTTCCACAATTGTGATTATCAAATCAAACCACCCTCAGCATTTGTATTACAAAAAGGTCAAAAGAATATATCATTATCCAACTGAGTGTGGTACATGGTACTCAATAAGAGCCATCCAACATCCATTCCTGATAGTAGATGCCAACAAGTAATTGCACATGAGCATGAACGTCATGCCCACTACACTTATCCACCATCCATCATCCAGGCAGGCAGCAGATGCTAAGTGGAATTCCTTCATTGCCTTTCCCCAGGAGCATAGCTCATGTTTTTGACAGTTGCATCTTTTTCTTGCCCCCTCATGCCCCTCAAGAACCAGCAGTCACCCCCAACCTCAGAGTAAGCTACAGAAACACCAGCAAAACAATATTTATTCAAGGACCTGTATGAAGGCATATCCACAAACTTACAATTATGACGCATTGTAGGAATTGATATACCAAGGAAATGCATACTATCTGAGGATATAGAATATGGAAAACATAGTCCATTGGGGTCAATTTATCATTATCCAATGGAATAGTGGATGATAATGGAGAAAGTGTGACCCATCATTGGGATTATAACTCTTATGTAAGCACCAGAGTCTCGTCACTATTAATCATTTCATCAGATGGTGATAACCTTACGGACTACAGCATAACATGGTCCACTTGATTACAATTTACCTTCTCTGAACAAATCCATATCCTTGAAAAAGCAAATTGCATGCAACTCTCATTTTAGCAATGCCAACCATTTAATGATGACGTATGTGGGGATTTCATCGAATTATACACTATCCAACAATTTAACTCCAGATATAACTTAGTAGTCTCAGACAACATCCAATCCTCGGTTACATTAGATAATTAAACTAGGAAACTAAACTAAATGGAAAAGCTATCACCACTAATCATATTACAATTTTTTGTCACAAGTTATCATGCATTAAATATAAGAAGACTAATCCCTTGATAATGAGTGAGAATAGGACACAAAATGAACAACCAAAATCTTGACTTCCCATTTCATGATGCATGAAGCAAATCTCTAATTAGATGCACAAAAGCTTAGACAAATCCACTTCTAAAAAGCAGCAAATCCACTTCTAAAAAGCACAAATTCTGCCAGGTTTTCTTAATAACCAATGAAATTTGTGAGCAATTAGACCACTTTAATCCATCTTCCTCCAATGAAACCATAGTTGTCAAAAGAGGAAACCATTGAGAAAGAATTTTGGGATTGCATAAGATAACAGAGTGCAAGAAATGTAAAACATAATTGCATATGAAATATAATAACCTAGAAAGTGCTAGGACAGATCAAGATTGGCATGCAAACATGGAAAACATGGGAAACATATATGGAACTTGAGAAAATTCAAGGGATAGTAAAAGTTGGGGAAAACGCATAAAATCTGCAGGGAAAGAAATGGCGGCAATGTAAGAGATACATGAAACGAGTTTTGCACAAATTTGGAAAACAGGCTCTTACCAGTTATTAGGAAAGGCAATAAAAGTAAAACTTCTCAGGTTTATATGGCATCCATATGACGGACTACTTGAAATATGCTATCGTAGGATGCACGAGGGGTGTAAAATGTGTTCCAGAAAGTGAATCATGAAAAGATCAGGATATCCTTAGAACATAACAACTGATGTCAACATAGGCACAATATGTAAAAATACAGAAGTACATTTACAAACAATTAATGCACATAACACCCTCAAGCTAAAGTCGAAATTCAACCCTCTCGAGTATTGAACAGCTCATATACTGCTTGTCCATTACCTCAGTGGCTGCGCTACCACTGCTTTTATGAGTGCAGCAGGTGCACGTTAGTACCACTTTTGAGTGGCTCAACCAAATGTCAGCAAAGGCTTGCTTAAATTTGGTTACATTCATTCTCTCTCTCTCTCTCTCTCTCTCTCTCTCTCTCTCT